TTTTTTTAAGTAAAGGTGACTAAATTAAAAATAAGACACCTGAGTATTTTCCGATCTTCCCGAATTTGCGGCAGCAGCAGTGAATTTACGGTGAACCGGTGGTGGAGTGATTTGCGAGAATGAAAGCGAATCCACCATCGGAGTATTTTCATCCGCGTAATCGCAACACATCGATTTTGGCCTGGGCCAATTTTTTGTGTAACGTTTCGGCCCATGACAGCGTACCGCTGTGGTACTTTCGATTGCTGTAGCCTGCACGAAATAGAGCGCTATTTACCATCGTACTCACAATGCGGAAAAAGAAGGGTACTCCGAACTTCGAAAAAGAAGGGTAGCTAGAACTTTTTCTGAAATTTCAAATTTCGTAATCACATTTTTTAAAAATTTTGAATAGAATTTTGCCAACTTTTATTTTTAATTACCTTGATCCGGATTTCAGTTTTTTTAAATTAAAAAAACTGAAATCCTTTTTTTAAATTAAAATAGTATATAAAAGCAAACCACAATTCGAGGATTTTCATCGATCAGAGTTGCATCTTTTACAGTATCTACATTCTGATCGCATTTTTTACGCTGCTCTTCCAGTGATAGCTTACGATATGTGCTATATGGCATTGTTGATTGGGTACTGCAAGTATACAACTATTAACAACAATCGGAAGAAAACATGGGGCTTTCGAGGAGGTAGGCGGGAGAGGAAGAGGAGGGAAGTTCTCTACAAATTATATTTGAGTTATTCGCCTCGATTCAATTCTCTTCCCCCCACCCCCCTCCCATACCTCTACTTCTCCCTCAAAACCTTGTTTCCTCAACCGAGAGTTCCTCAGTCCCCCCAAAACTGTCGTTCGGAACTACTTACTTCCCTCAAAATCAAAAGCCTTTTCATTCAACATTCTCAAATTCCTTTGATGTCGAGAATTCTGAAGTTCCATCTTACTTCACTCTGGTAACATTTGTTATGAATGATGATTGTTTGTAGATTTGTTTATGATATTCAAATGATTTCTGGACCGATTATGGCTGCTTGAGATGCGGCTTTCGCTTATCGCTGCTAAATGCTGCATAATATTGTTGTAGACGCCGTAGATACTGGACTTAGGTACGGTACCTGAACCTACCGTATCCGATTAAAGCTTATGAGGGTGCCAAATCGAGCTATTCATGGCAGCTGAGCCCAGTTGCGCTGCTTTTCAGAAATTTGATAAGTCACTTTATAAGCCAACTAATACGCAGTTATTCATATAATCCTGACTGTGTAGTACCTCAAATCGGAAGAAACTGAGACACATCCAGAATCCATGCTCACCGATGACCGATGACTTACACAGCAACTCACTGGGCTGTCGCATCGTGAGTCGTTCAGTTTGACCTAAATTTTAATGTTAAAAACCTACACCATTGTAGCACTTTTTTCGATAAGTGGTGGATGATAGGAAATATTAAAAAAGTGATTTCAAATGGGAAAACTCTTAAATAAAGTACAAACAAACAAGCAGTAAGAAAATGAGTATTTTTGAGAACCAGAACATAATGCTAAAAAGATGAACTGGTATGGTCTTATGGCAAGAATGAGAAGTAACAGGTGGACAAACACGAATTATTGAATGGTCTCATGCGATGTTAAAAGAAAACAGGAAAGGCCAAAAACGAATGAAAAGATACGCTTGAAAGGCTACGTGGAATTATGTTAACGAGAGAGACTCAAAATGAGAAGTGCAGAGAAGATGCCGGCTGCAAATTTGTGGCTGAAGACAACTTGAAGAACAACTGATGATTAAAATGTTTCAAAAAAAGTAAACAAGCAAAAATTTACCCTGGCTACTCTGACTGTGAAACGGAAATAAAGACTGCAAGATTTTACGAAAATTATGGTTTACGAAAAATGTGGCCTTGATTTTATGATTTTGGCCAATTTTTGACTCAACATGGATCTCATACATGACATTTATGCACGAAATGCGTGACTTGATGACCTCATTTTTGATGCTCAGTTCAAAATGTTTATGTAGCGCAACAGTGGATTACCAGTCAGAAATTTCAAATTCCCTAAAATGCAAAGTGGCAAGCTGTCTTCTATGGGAAAAAGAAACAAGCGAGTTGATTCAAACACTCTACTTTCCTTATATCTCTGTATACTAAGAATAATAAGATTGTCTCGACAGCCCGTGTTAGTGATGCTACTGGGACACTCATTCTTTCACGTAGGGTTCAGCTATGCTAGGCCCTTCAATTCTGGGAGTTCTTGCCAGTAAGCCTTTTTGCGCTTTATCGGTGTTGCAAACAAACTGGGGCTTCCTAAACAGGGCTTAAGCTGCTCTTTTGGCCTTTCGTTACGATAGTCACACGGACATGGCTAGGATTTTTGATGGCAATTGCGCCCTTAACCTTCATCCAAAATTTTTCTGAATTCGCCCATTTTGCCAGAATTATCCACTTTGCTGCCCTTCCCTTTTCCAACCATCTTCTTCCCTTCGCGCCCCTTCGTTTCCCAGTCAGAATTTAGACCGTGTAACCAAATGGACAGAGATGACCCCATATCATATTACATCATTTGTCATTATATCATTATCGGTCATCCGCTTCAACAATGAAATATGGTGCTCGCATGTATCATTTCCAGTTTTATCATCATCCACCCACCCTCTAGTAATACAGTAGTACTCCCAGCATCACTTCTCCTGCCACTATTGCTGCACGAATAATACTGCACAATAACTGTTGCAACCATCGCCATCCAACGATGCATCCAGAAAAGGCGGTAGCCCTTTGACTTTTGCGCTTAGAAAGCAACGAAACTGCTC